TGAGTTTATCAACTCTGAAAATGTGATTACAGCTGCTGTTTCACATGAAGTATCTTCATCTTGTGCCATGCACAGATGTTAGCTTGTGTTAGTTGTGCAGTGAATGTCACCATTATGTTCTGTGATCATACTTTACACCCTATCTATATTGATTTAGCTCGAGCTTGTGTAACCACAGACACAGGGAGGCAATCTGGCACTGTCCTACTGAGATTTTACATTGACCATCTGCTTTCACTTCTTTTTCCCTGAATAAGCATGAGAGTCAAATCCTCATGATGTCAGCTAATGTTGTAGCCCATTGCTCCTCTGCCATCCCTATGAGTATGCTGAATAAAAACCATCAGAGGTGTCGGTCTCTGTAAAGAGCTCACTGGTGCTCCCTGGGACTTGATAGGAAATGTGAGTGAAGGAATATGATGCCTGCTGAGGAATTCTGGATAATCAGAAATTACTCCTGGCTAATATTTGGAAAGCCTTATTTGATCAGCCAGCATTGGTGGGCGGGCTTTGCTTCTGTTTGCAGGTAGACAGTCATCTTCTGTTGGTACAAGTTGGCGTCTTCATGCTCTAAAGGAAGGCCTGCACTAGAAGCCCATTTCTGATTTAATTTCTGCAGTAGGTAGGAAGAAGGCTGCTTACAGCAGAAGGGACTTCAGAGTCAGCTTGACAGATTAATTTTGTTTCTGCATAAAGAGAAGCTGTCCACAGGAGCTCTCTTTCCATGTCTTTGGCACTGTCAAAAGAGGTGGTGTTTCTGCAGGTCTCTGTTAGTAGCATAGTTTCTGAGTTTCAGTTCGGGTGAGTGTGCAGTGTTGAAAAGTTTTGGAAAGAAGACTTGTAAGACTATGTGGGTCAGTAAAAAGGACACTGGACTTGGGAGCCGAGTCCTCTGTCCTCATGACATAAGAGACCATCTTGTCCAGACAAAGAGCTAGACAAGAACAGGCAACTTCTGCCCTCAGATGAAGCTGTGTTCACACTGGGCATGAAGGCATCAAATGTCTTTCTACTTCTGATGGACATCTCCCCCTAGCTTAGCAGCTCCTGTCAGGGTGGCTCATGCTCTAGAAGGGCCAGCTGGGGTGAAGTACTGACAAGATTGCTGATGACTGAGGATCATGTGCAGGAGTGCAGCTGTGGAGCAGTTTGCAGTGCGGGCAGAGCTCCTGAGTTGCATTTGGCTGATGCTTCCTGTCGTCACTCCAAAGAGATTGCCTCAACTTGGGCATCTGAAGCAGCTCTTAACAGCACATCCCAGCCCTGCACCTTCCTGCTCTTCCTAGCTTTCTGGAATGAGTTGTTTGCAAGCATTCAGTTGAACAAATTGGGAAGCTCCCTGGAAATTTGCCCATTTATCTCAAGGCTATCTTGTCCCCTATAGCCATAGGTTGAACAATGTGTATGCTGGAGAGGGAATTCTCCTCTGTTACCTCTCTCTATGTATTTCTTAATATTGCCTTTTTTCATTTTCTTATTGTGCTCTGAAACGCTTTGTTTACCTTGGCTTGTAGCTTCAGTATTTTTTTGATATCTTCTCCCTTTCTCCATTTCGTACATTTCACTTAAATTACCATGAATAAACTTGTTTTTCCTGCCTGTGACTTAGCTTGCTTTATCACTAGGTACCTCTTGATGAGCTAATAAGATTCTCCACAATTCTAGGCTGTTAATAGTAACAAATGGACCAAGCAATAGATGATCATTTTCTGCTAAGCTAAAATGACTTCAGAATTTTTGTCATTCTTTTCTCCGTTGTAACCAGACTGTTTTATGGCAGCATTTCCTTTTCATCCCTGTTGCTCAATGTTCTTGTTCTTTT